CTGCCCATCAAACAGACTGCAACTTGTTTGGGGTCTGAGCCCTCCAGGATGGGGGACAAGCTGGGACTCGTTATCCACCAGCCCCGTGCACGTGGCAGTGGTGCTGCCGGCCGGCTCTGGTGGCTGCTCCAGCTCCTGCCGGCCTGGTCTGGCCAGCCCAAGGATGTCTTTGGCCACAGGAGCTGGGTGGTCCAGATGGGCTCATTGTGGCCCTGCATAAAGCTGGGATCTGCAGGTGTCAGCATCACCCTGGCCATAAGGGTGCTTGGGGTGCACACTGCAGCATCGCTCCCTAGCTGCTCTGGCACAGGAGCAAGCTGCAGAAACAGCAATATCTCCATACAAAGCCAAACCAGACCCTTTCTCTGAACTCAGCAACTTGTTACCAGAAACACAATGAGAAACTGCAGAAAGATCTTCCAGAAAAGATCGGGGCAGTGAATGGACTTGGCAGAAAGGGGACTAGCTGTGCTGGCAAGGGAGGATGGAGTCGCCCTCCTGTTGCGTTGCTTCAGGTGGCCTCATCCTGGTTTCTTTGACAGGTCTGAACTGGGAAACCCAAGGAGAGGGAGCGCAACGCAGGGCGGTTTCTGCCAACAACTACTGCCCTCTTCTGCTCTTTTCTTCCTTCGCCAGCCAGCCTCTCTGCAGCCCTGCTCCAGGCTCTCCTTGGCCCTTTGCATCAGAGCATTCGCTGTGACCTCCCCATGTGTTCGTGAGCCCGCACTGCCAGCCGTCCCACAGTGGGAAAAACTGGTGACTTCTGGAGCTAGAGGTGGTGTTGGTGCTTTCAGCAGCCTTTGGTGGACTCTCGCAAATCCAACTTCATTCTGAACCTTGCTAGATTTCTAGTACCCTGCTACCAAGAAAGTAGTGTATCCAGTCCATGGTCAGAAGTCATGCTCATGGTCACCCTCGCTGGTCCCATCCCGGCCAACATCCACTCTCCGATGCCATATTGCTCTCCAGAGCTGAGGCCTCTCTTCCGGCTTTCTCCTTAGCATCCCCATTGCTCTGTCCACATCTGTCTTTCAACTTTTGCAAGTTTGCTTTCTCCTGGTGCCTCTCCACGCCTGTGACTTCTCCAATCACCTCTTCTCTGGGGTTTCAGTGGTCTGTAGGAGCCACGTTCTCTTTTTTTTTTCCTCTTTGCACAGATGGGATGGATAGGACCTGGATACCATCACAAGTGAAAGTGCAGCTTTGGATGGGATGAACCACCCTGCAGGACTGGGATGAAGCAAGATCCAAGCGCTGAATGTCCAAACTGGACATGCTGTTTTTCTCTGCCCCGTTCCCAAAGCACCTACCCCTGGAAGGAACAAACGCTCA